AATTTGATAGCATTATGATCTGAAAAGATGGTTTGCAGTATTTCAATGTTTTTAAATTTATTAAGGCTTGCTTTATGTCCTAACATATGATCTATCATGGAAAATGTTCCATGTGCACTGGAGAAGAATGTATATTGTGCTGTTGGTGGGTGAAATGCTCTGTAGATGTCTATAAGGCCAAGTTGGTGGATTGTATTGTTTAGCTCTTCTCCATCTTTGTTCAGTTTCTTTCCAGTTCTGTGTTTCATTGAAAATGGTGTATTCAAGTCTCCCACTATGATTGTGGAGTTATCTGTTTGCCTTTTCAACTCTTTTAAAGTCTGATTTATGTATTTTGGGGCCTTTCATTTGGTCCATAGATAGTTATTATGGTTATATCTTGTTGTTCAGTTGATCCTTTAATCATTATATAATGTGTTTCCTGTCTTGTATGGTAGTTTTTGTCTTAAAGTCAATTTGATCAGAAATTAATATTTCTACTCCTGCTCTTTTATGGTTGCCATCTGCTGGATACATCTTTTTCTAACCTTTGATTTTCAGTCTATTTTTGTCTTTGTAAGGTGTGTCTCTTGTAGACAGCATATTGATGGGTTTTGTTTTCTTATCCAGTCTGAAACTCTCCTGACTCTTGACTTGTGCATTTAATCCGTTAACATTCAGTGTAATTATTGACAGGTATGAATTGGTTGCTTACATTTTTGTGTGAAGAAACACAATGTGAAATAACATTTATGTGTTTTTTCATGGTGTCCCTGGTTTCTTTGTTCCATATTATTTTCTGTGCTGTGCTCATGATGTTTATGAATCATGTTATCATTTCCTTTGTTGCTGTTGTTTAAGTATTTGCTGAATATTTGTGCTTGTCCTCTTTTTTATTGTGATATGAAGGTTTATCATTTTTGTTTGAGGGGACCCTGTGATTCATAATTTTCTCCCCGAGCGTAGAACAGCCCATTCCATTTTGCAACTCTCTTGACTTCCTCACCAATTAGAAGTTATGTAACTGCACAATATTTTCCCTTTTTTTGGTTTGTAGTTGTCCTCAGTTGCCAATTGATGTCTCTAATTCCATGTTTACAATCTTGTAAGCTTATTTTACTTTGGATATGTCCATAGCTGTGGTTTTTAGGTTATGTCATTTTGTGTTTTAATGGTCAGTTGTTATTTGCTGTTTTTGGTTCTCTGTTCAAAGGACATCCTTTAGTATCTCTTGTAAGGTTGGTCTGGTTTTAACAAATTCCCTTAGTGCTTGGATATCTCCTAATTTCACCATCATATCTGAGGGACAGTTTTGCCAGGTGTATAATTCTTGGTTGAAAGTTTTTCTCTTTCAGGGTTTTATATATACCATACCATTGCCTTCTCACTTGCATGTTTTCTGGTGAGAAATCAGAGCTTATTCTTATTGGTTGTCCTTTGTAAGTAACTTTTTGTTTTTCCTGTGCTGCTTTCAGGATTTTTTCTTTGTCCTTGGTGAGTTTGATGATGATGTGTCTTGGTGATTTTCTTTTGGGTCTATCCTGTTTGGGTTTTGTTGGACTTCCTGAATGGATATATTCTCATCTTTCATCATATCAGGGAAGTTGACCTCCAACAAATCTTGGACAATTTTCTCAGTGATTTTTTTTTTCTCTTCCTGTTCTGGATTTCCGAATACATGTAGGTTATTCCTTTTGATGGACCTTAGGCTTTCTTCATTTTGCTTTTATCTTTTTTCTGATTGATCCCTTTCCAGAGAAGTATTCAGGTATTTGTCTTCAATCTCACTAATTCTGTCTTCCATTACATCAATTCTACTCCTTTGCTCTTTCCATGTGTTATTTGTGTCTCACAATTTAGTATTAATCTTCTGGATTTCTATCTGTAGATTTAGAATTATTTCTTATTTTTCATTTATTTTGTCATTTTGTTCTTTGAAAATTCTTCTGGGGTTTTGTGTGTGTTTTCCTTGGTCTATCTCTCAATCATTTGAAGATATAAATATAATTCTTTTTAATTCCTTATCAGAGAGTTCCAATGCTGCTTCTTCCTCAGGGATGTGTTCTGGGTCTGTATCCTGCTCCCTTGTTTCTACCACTTTATCTTGCTTCTTTGTGTAGACTGTGATGGTCTGTTGTCTCTGAGACATTGTGATGCTGTTGTATTTAGATCTCTGTTAACTGTTTGTGAAGAACAGCCAAGGGTGAGTCAGGCTCTTTTTGGTGGTTGTTTATTGTTGGCCCATTAGTGGAGAAGGAAGTGGTAGCTGTCACTCAGTATGTGAAGTTGCAGGACATGTGGTTTAATTGTGTCGTATGGGGATTGATGTGTTCTACTCAGTTAGACAAACATAAAATTGAAAAACCATCAAAAAAATAAAAACAAATGGATAAAAAATACACCATGTAGTCACACAGGAGCAGTAACCAGAAAAAGAAAAAAGGAAAAAAGAAGTAAAAAAAAGAAAAAAAGAGAAAACAAACCCTGCAATATCTGGGGAGAGGGCAATAAGAGAATAAATGTAGATAAGGAGAATAATGAAGAAAAAATGGGGAAAGTGTGAAAAGAGAAACAAGGAACAGCATTAACCACGAGAAAGAAAGAATAAAATTGCAACCAGGAACAGGGAAAAGAAAAGCTGAGAACTAGAACCTGGGAAGGGAAGAATAAAGAATAATAGTAAAAAGGACAGAAGGAATAATAATAATAGTAGTTATAAAGCAGACAAAAACAAACTAAAAAACAGAAAAAAGAAAAAGAAATCTGTCGAGATCGGGGTAGGGCACCCAGTCTCTTGACTAAGCCCACAGACTTGGATAGAGTTCCTGCCAGCCCAGAAGGTGGGTGGGAATGAGGGATGGCTGCACCTCCGTTCACCAAGTGGGTGTGAGGTATAAGAGTAACAAGGGGAATGCCGCACCTTTCCAGTCGTCCAGGTCCGCGATGTCCTTGGGGTTCCCGGCAAGTGGAGCCTGTTTAAGACCCTGGAATCTGGGAGAAGCTGTTGTTTTAAATATCCAAAATGGTCAAGCCACTTCTAAACATTGAAAATGGCTGCGTCTCTGGACAGAGAGAAGTCGACAGCTCATCCCGCTTTCCTCTTCTCTGCTTCCCCTCTTTTTCCCCAGTCACCAGAGCATTCCTCCATGCAGTCCCTGGCTAGCAGGGCCAATTTTTAGGTTAATTCTTAGGTCCTACTACCACTTGGCAACATCCAAGCTGTCTGTGCCATCAGGATCACTGCCAGATTGCAGCTCTCTCTGTCTCTGTTTTTGGTGTTTTCATGCAAATTCTTCTGCTAGTTGGAGTTGAGTCCACTTCTATATCCTTCCCTTCAAGGCTCAGGTGCCTAGGATTATCTTCTGTATCTGTGTTAATTGGGTCCCCTTTTCTTTGTTGAAGAGGGTCTGTGCAGTCTTTTTGCCTATTCCGCCCTCTTACTGGAACTCTGTATTATAATTCTTTACAATAACCTTTTTGCGGTCTAATTTCTTTTTGCTTTTTGTGAAAATTTAAATGTGTTAAAAATATGGTATATAATTAGAAAACATAAGTAATGCCTTTTTCCTTCCTTTTATTTACAACAGATAGTGGCTAGTGATGGGCCCAAACCTCCTTAGCTTTTATTTCTATATATAATTTTCAGTTTCAGGAAGTACTTGCCTTGTAATATCTGATATCTTTTTCATCTTCATTTTATATTGGTTAGTGTTGAAATAATAATGCTTTTTCTAAATTTTTTTCTTCATTCTGATGTAGTTATTGTCTGGCCTATTCTTTAACCTAATCAAGAAATTATTGAAATTTTTGGCTGGGTAATTTTTTGTTGTGGAGGACTGACTGTCTTGTTCATTGTAACATATTTAGTATCATTCCTGGTCTCTCATCATTAGATGCCAGTATCATTCATTACTTTTTCCCTAGTTGTGACAACCAAAAATGTCTCTAGATACTGTACATGGCTGCTTCAGGACTAAATTGCACCTGGGTGGAAACCGCTATGTCCCAGTCTTGTGAGAAATAATGGGGTACGTCCCGTAAACTTTTTGGTGTTCTAATTATACTGTGTTATTTATAGGTAAATAGTTCTTGCAGAGATGATGATTTCAAACAGAAACAACCAAAGAAGAAAAAGAATATCATCTATGATTCAGGTAATACTTCCTCTGATGATCTTTCACGTTTTAAAAATATTTTATATCCCTTAGAACAGTGTTTCCCAAACTAATGTGACAAAGACAAGTGCTTGGAAATGAGAGCTCCGTGCTGAAATAAAGTTTCTTTAAATTTTACTTTACTGCAGAACTTACCAGAGTTTAAATATGTTAATGTATTAAAAATTTGTTTAGCTGGATGTGGTATGTAGCATGTTGCTTGCTTTTAAAACAGACATCTAAATTTTAATTTTTGTGCTTGACTGAAAGAGTTGGCTCGTTTTTGTTGCATTTAAAAGGGCATAATCACAATTTAAAGGAATTTTGAATGTTTCTCAGGTCGGAAACATCAATTTTTGTTCGTGTCTTTTATGATATGTTAAAATAATGGTCACTCAAAACTCCCTGTCATCAATTCAGTTCTGACTCATAGTGACTCCCATGGGGTTTCCAAGGCTGTAAATCTTTATAGAAGCAGATTGCCTCATCTTTCTTCTGGGGAGCAGTTGGTGGGTTCAAACCACTGACCTTATGGTTAGCAGCCAGGTGCCTTGCCTACTACACCACCAGAACTCAGAAGACTTCAGTTTTGTAGGGAGACTTCATCTGGTGTAAACTGTGTGAATGGTTATGATTTTTGACAATGATAGCAAAAGTTCTGATTCAGTTCTAAAAGTATTTGAATGTTTACTGTAGGCCTTTTGTTGCTCTGAATTGTAAGGAATTTTAAAGAGGTGCATATTCTATTCCTTGGAAGTTTCCATCTTTTGGGAATCTATGGAAATTTAGAACAGTATGAGACAGGATTTGTAAATGCATAGTACAGAGGAAGAGGAAGGACACTGAAGTTTATGGAATACCTGTTTTGTACTATGCTAGGTTCTTAAACCTTTTCCTGGTTTTTATATAAGTGATTTTGGCAATGAGGCTATGGTAGGCAGATAATGGCCCTCAAAGATGTCTATATTCCAACTACTGGAACCTGTGAATATGTTAGGTTACATGGCAGAAGGGAATTAATGTTGCAGATGGGATTAAGGTTGCTAATTAGATGAACCTTAAAATAGGAAAATAATCCTAGGTTATCTAGGTGGGCCCACTGTAATCACAAGGGTCCTTAAAAGTGAAAGAGGGAGGCAGGAGAAAAGAGATGGAAAATGCGAGATGGTTAGAGGACCAGAGATGACATGGCAGCTTGAGAGGCCCTGGGCCTGATGCTGCTAGTTTTGAAGATGGAGAAAGGGAGCCTTGAGCCAAGGAATGCTGGCAGCCTCCAGACACTGGAAAAGACAAGGAAATGGATTCTCCCCTAGAGTGTCCAGCAAGGACCACAGCCCTGCTGACACCTTGATTTTAGCCCATTGAAATCAATATTGGACATCTCAGCTGTGCAGCTGTGAAAAAGTAAATTTGTGATGTTTTGAGCCACTAAGTTTGAGGTGAGTTGAGCAATAGAAAAGTAACATGTAAGTTTAATGATGAATAGAAGTTAACCTGAAAAATTCAGGGGAAAGATGTGACTTGCAAAGGACGTTGAGGAATTGGTTCACAAAGACTCTTTAAAAACACACCATATTACTTCTTTCAAAGTTTTGTCTTATTTTTGTCTCACATACAGATTCAGAATCAGAGGAGACAGTGCAGGTTAAAAAGACCAGAAAGCAACCAGAAAAAATGCCACGGTCTTCTAAACCTGGTAAAATTCCGAGACGGGATCCTGTCATGTACATTTCAGAAACAGGTAAGGGTGGTGAATATACTGAGTTTTTTAGAGAGGTGCAGTGTGTATTACATCCTTGAGCTTCTCATTGGTGTCTGCATACATGTACCACCTTTACTTTGAATTGAATTTTTATTGCATTTTTTGCTTTGTTGTATTGGATTTTTTAGGGAAAAGCTATAATCATCTTTGGCATTTTCTATGGGTTGAGGGTCTGGAATTTTAAGTGCAGCTGTTCAAACCCACCTGCTGCTCCATGGGAGAAATATGTGGCAGTCTGCTTTTGTAAAGATTTCAGCCTTGCAAATCCTGTGGGGCAGTTCTGCTCTGTCCTATAAGGTTGCTATGAATAGGAGTTGACTTGATGGCAATGGGTTTGGGTTTTTTTTTGTATTGAATCATATAAGTTGAAGCTCTATGTTGTATCATACATTAAAATATTATTGGGTTGCTTTAGAACTATTTAAAAAAAATAGTAGTCTTTAGGAGCCCTGGTGGCGTAGTACCTAAGGCATTTTACTGCTAACCAGAGGGCTGATGGTTCATGCCCACCAGCCACTCCTCGGAAGGAAGACTGGGCAATCTACTTCCGTAGTGATACTACCTTGGAAACCCAAGGAGGGGTTGCTGTGAGTTGGATCTGACTTGACAGCAGTTTGGTTTTTTTGGTTTAGAACTATTTAAAAAAATAGTAGTCTTTATTTTTTAGAACAAATATAGGTTTATAGAACAACTGCAGAAAGTACAGGGTTCCCATATTAAACTGTTATTTATATTTCTAATATTATTAATATCTTGCATTAGTATAGTACATTTGTTATAATGGATGAACCAATAGTGATCTATTTTTATTAACTACAGTCATCGCTTACATTGGAGCTCACTCTTTGTGTTGTACAGCTCAGTGGACTTGGAGAAGTGCGTAATGTCATGTGTCTACCATTACAGTATCACACAGAATAGTGCACTTGCCTCCAGAATCCTGTGTTCCCCTGCGCATCTTTCTCTTTCTCCCTCTGCATCCTTGGCAACCACTGATCTTTTTACCGTCTCTATCGTTTTGCTTTTTCCAGAGTGTCATTTTGTTGGAGTCATAGAGTATGTAGTCCTTTTAGACTGGGGTATTTTTAAATCAGAATTTTGTTCATGTGCTTTTCCCAACTTTAAAAATTTCATCACTCTGGGCATTCTCAGCTGCATAAGGCAAGTATTCATATTTGAATTTCTTTTTCTTTTGTAAGCAGGAGGTTTTTTTTTTTTTTTTTTTTTTTTGGTTTTTAACCCTGACAGCCCATTGGAATCACTGAGGGAGCTTTTAAATTTCTGAGGCCCAGGCTGCATTTCAGACCAGTGAAATTGGGATTTCTGGGAGGTGTGGCTCAGGTGTCAGTATCCACAGGTGATTCCAATGAGCAGCTAGGGTGGAAAACCCACACAAAGGCTGTTGTTGTTGTTGTTGTTATTTGCCTTTGAGTTGGCCCCGACTCATAGCAACCCCTCCTTGGTTTTCCGAGGCGGTATCTCTATGGAAGTAGATTGCCCAACCTTCCTTCCGAGAAGTGGCTGGTGGGTTTGAACCTCCAGCCTTTTGGTTAGCACTCAAGTGCCTTAGGCACTATGCTACCAGAGCTCAAAGGTTAGGTAGGGATTAATTTGTTCACTGAACTTAAACTGTTGTTTATTCAAGCCTTTGTCCTTTGCTCTTCTTAAGTCTATTTCTTTTTCTCTCGTATTTGATGGCATTCAGACTTCATCTTCTTTCTATTTGGTTTTATTTTATTAAAGTCTTTATTTTTTCCTTCTTAGGGATTAGTTGGGAGCTCTCGTGGTGTAGTACCTAAGGCATTTGACTGCTAACCAGAAGGCTGGCAGTTCAAACCCACCAGCCACTCCTTGGAAGGAAGGTTGGGTAATCTACTTCTGTACTGATACCACCTCAGAAGCCTAAGGAAGGGTTGCTATGAGTTGGATCCAACTCGATGGCATTGAGTTTGTCTTTTTGGTTTGAGGGATTAGTTATAGCTTGTAATTTTTCTGTGTAGTATCGGTACTGAGTATCTTCTTTTTTTCCTTCTAATTTTTATTGTGGTGAAATATGTAAAACAAAACATTTGTCATTTCAACCATTTTTACGTGTATAATTTAGTGACATTAATTATGTAGAACTTCTTTTATATGCATTTTAAAGTAGTAATAATGTAAGTATATAATAATTAACTCTTGTTTGTGATTTATAAATTTTATATAACCTAATTCGCTGTATTCTCTGAAGACACTAAAGATTTTAGCATTGGCTTTTTCAAAAAAGATTTTTCTTTGATACTTAAATTTGATGTATTTTAATAGTTATCAAAGAATAAACGACATTCATATGTAATTGTGTACTAATCTTAAGATTTCATAGAATAAATTATTGCTTCATAGATAATATTCTGTTATGGTAATGAACATTGAGTTATGTTGTCATCCTAAGTGGAAAAAAAACCAAACTCAGATGAGTTTGTTGTAAAGTTCTTTTGATTCTAGCATTGTTAACTCATAGAGGAGATCATGACAGGAATAAAAAGACTTATATTAGCCTTCAAACTTACAGAGCCTATGGAATCAGTTCTTACATAGAAATGCTTGAAGGGACCGTGAGAACATCTGATCCCACATTGGTGTGTTCATATTGAGGAAAACCTCTGAAACAGTTGTTTTTAGCACTCAGCGACTGTCTAGCTGATGAAGCGAATACTGGTTTAAAGAGACATGGTAAAAGCCACATCATTATTTGGACACAGTGTGTTACTACTTGCACTCAACTGACATATTTATTGAGTGTCTGTTATGTGACATATTCTACATGCCGGGGATACAAAGGATGACTAAAGACTTGTAAGTGCTTTAGGAGTTCATTGAAGTAGCAGCAGGGAAAGAGAGGGGATGATGGAGGCACCAAGATTTGACCTGCTATTGAATGATGAGCAGATGAATATGCCAAGTTGGGCAGGGTTATTTAAGGCACAGCATCCAGCACAAGCTTGATATGTTCATAGGACCCTGAGGAGGTTGCTTGCTTACATGACAAAGAGCAGTGGGAGGTAGGTAAGTAAGATTTGGGAAGACCTTGGACTTAGCAGATGAATTTAGATTTGACATAGCAGACGAAAGGGAACCGCTGACGCTTTTTTTACACCCCCCCCCAGGAAAACAATAAAAATCTATTAATATTTATTAGTTTTAATTTGCATATCTGATATGTGCTTTAAAATAAAAATTTAGATGGCACAATAACTAGAAACTAATCTAATGCCACTCCACCAAAGGCCATCATTATTCAATTTGGTTATGAATTTTTTACATATATAAAATTATGATTTCAATACTATATTATTAAAAGTTTATTAATGTATTTATTGGCAGTAAGATGCTGTTAGTAAAAATAATCTTCTCTTGTACTTTTACCAAGTGTAACAGTAGCATTGCCATTATTTTCTTTAACAGACTCAGAAAACGTATCTTTAGTACATACATTTAAGGATCATTGTTAACATAATATACATTTAAGGATCAGTGTCATGTTGATTCATTTTACTAAAATAGTCTTTTATTTATTTACTTATCATTGCCTCTCTTTAAATTTACTTATGTATTAATTCAACAAGTCTTTATTGTTGTCTGCTGCAAAGCAATGGTTAAGTGCTGTGCTGCTCACTGAAAAGCTGGTGGTTAGAACCCACCACATGCTCTGTGGGAAAACAGACCTGGAGATCTGTTCCCATTAAATTTTTTTTTTTTTTCCATTGAACTTTGAACAGAGTTGTAGAATGATAAAAATAGTATTTGAGGGTAATTTCTAGATTACTAGTCTTCAGGCTGAGTTGGAGAGTTGTTGTTAGGTGCCATCGAGTCATTTCCAACTCATAGCAACCCTGTGTTGCTATGAATGGAACCCCACCCTGCCTTTGGCCGTCCTCACAGTCATTGCTATGGTTTAGCCCATTGTTGCAGCCACTGTGTCCACTTTGTTGAGAGTTTTCCTCTTTTCCACTGACCCTCTACTTTACCAAGCATGATGTCTTTTTCCAGGGATCGATCCCTCCTGATAACATGTTGAAAATACATGAGCTGAAGTCTTGCCATCCTCTCTCAAAAGGAGCATTCTGGCTGTACTTCTTCCAAGACAGATTTGTTCATTTTTCTGTCACTCTATGGCATATTTAATATTATTCACTCGATGGCATATTTAATATTATTCACAGATTAATATTAAATAACATTTAATATTATTCATAAACACCGTAATACAAATGCATCAATTCTTTTTTGATCTTCTTTATTTATTTTCAGTGAGAACATGCATATGAGGTGATTGAAAATACTATGGCTTTAGTCAGGTGCACTTTAGTCTTCAAAGTGACATCTTTGCTTTTTAATACTTTAAAAAGGTCTTTTGCAGCAGATTTGCCTAATGCAAATCATGTAGTTTGATTTCTTAACTGTTGCTTCCATGGGCATTTACTGTGATCCATTTAAAATGAAATCCTTGACAACTTCAGTCTTTTTCTTTGTATATGATGATTTTGCTCATTGATCCAGTTGTGAGGATTTTTGTTTCTTTGTGTCATCCATACTAAAGGCTGTTGTCTTTGATCTTCATCAATAACTACTTCAAGTCCTCTTCACTTTCAGCAAGCAGGATTGTGCCATCTGCATATCACAAGTTGTTAATGAGCCTTCTCCAATTCTGTTCTTCTTAATATAGTCCAGCTTCTTGGATTATTTGATCTGCATACAGATTAAATAAGTGTGGTGAAAGGATACAACCCTGACACATACCTTTCCTGATTTTAAACCGTGCAGAATCCCCTAGTTCTGTCCGAGCAACTGCCTCTTGGTTTATATACAGATTCTGCATGAACACAATTATGTTTTCTGGAATTTCCATTCTTCTCAGTGTTACCCATAATCTGTTATAATCCATGCAGAGTAATAGAGAAAATATAATTAAGGAGACAGAATAGAGATTTTCAGTATCT